GCCCTCTCGTATGGAGCACGGACCGTGAGCCCTCTTACCTCATTCTCCACCCCCGCTAATGTAGAGTATGAGTCACCGCGTATTCGGTAGATACATGGTATATGTGTATATATCTCACTAACATTGGAATTAAGCTAGCAAGAGAACGTTGTACAACTAGTAACGGGTTGGCGTGGGGCCTAGAAAGACCCTGTTAGATCCTGGAATGTAGAATTCTCAAGAGAGCATACCGAGGGCATCCTTAACATACTGAGTGCTTATCACTAGTATTAGTATCAACAAGAAACGTTATCGTAGCAGTGTGTTTTGCCCGTCGTTGTTCGTCATCTTTAGCTCGTGGTGCCACGCTCCAGCAACCATGTACTATGAGATATCTAAAAAAGAAGATTTAGTGTATGTACTAGCAGGGATATTGTGTGACCTTAAGCTATACTTTCACCTCAGCGGTCCCCCACGTCATCTATGAAAAGAAAGCGGTGATCGTTAACTTTCTCACTTCAATAACCTTGTTGGTGTTCAAAAGACCGTACATGACTGTAAATCCTCCGAAGATATCCACAGTAAGGTCTGACCCTGTGGCAGTACTCGCCGAGTCACTGAGGTAGTGAAGCTAGTCTATTTAGAGCACTATGAGCAATTTATCTCACATTTGGGTTTGATGAGGGGAGGAAATTCATAGGTCATCATCTTTGCTACATATATGCGCAATCAGGGGTCTTCGTATCTGCCTTTTTATGCTCTAAGCCCTGAAATCAGAAGCTCCGCATTTTGATTTGCTGGTGGGCGGATACGGCTTATTAAAATTTCACTCGAAACCTTAGAACATTCGTCTCGGTGACATAGTGTCTGATAGAATTGTTGTGTTCGGAAGTCCCAGTCAGCTGCCGAGAAGGTAATTTTAGAGCGAGTCTAATTCATTCTGAATAGGGTTCTAATCCAGATCTGGCAGCAGCCGTGTTTGATTTCCAACTTTCTCTGGACCGACTACAACCATAGCATGGTAAAACCTGGTAGTGACGAATACTAATATATAATGAATGTCTATGAGAGTAAGGGATTGTAGGGTGACGGGGAAGATATGTGAATGATAAGGAGAGAAACATAGGGATGGTAGGCAAACAGAAGCGAAAAATGGAAGGGTATCAATTTTACATAAAAGCGCAGGCAGAAAAAGCACTGCAGCCAATCCTAGAAGGGAAAAGGCCTAGTAAATATCGGAACAGAGGCATTGGGAGTAATACTTGCTTATATAGTCCTCTCAAGGCCGCGTCACATGCATGGAACTGGTAACGGCACGGGGCCTGATATTTGATTATTGTGCATTCATCTCACAATAAACAGGCAATATATATCTTACTCTCCCTTCCATGCCTTTAATCACACGTAAACAACTAAATCACGAATGACCCTCATGAAAGGTTATACATAGAAAAGTCGTTGAATCAAGCTATTTACGCTATTTTTTGCCGTCTGCCTACAAGACTAATGAGACACCCAAGCGGATTATATGAACAGACCACTGCAGCAATATCACAAGGCCGCATAAGCAGCTGACTATTCTTGTTGATTATAATGTGGAAATATAAGGTTTTTACATTTGAGCCATCGGCGGGACGGCCCGTTCCACATGTTAATTAAGCTACTTTGGAATTACATTCATCGACTAGAAAGGGAGTGAGAACATTAAGCTAGTTATGTTCCTAAAGAAAACCATACTGCTGCGTACGTGCTATGCTCGATAAAATATCCTGGGGGCGAATACCAACGATGGTGTGGGAGATACATACCCCTTTGGATCGGACAATCCCAGCTCACATTTCTAATTAGGCTGAACCCCTAGCTTACCGCGTGGTTTATTTCTGGTAACACTACCCTACTTCCATTCCTACATCCTCTATCGATCTTATATCAATGCAGTGCGATACACTACCCCCGCACACCCGACAGCCAACAACGAATTTGATTAGCACAAATACCTTTGTGAGTTCTGTGATTGTCCTCATCAAACTGCATCTCAATTTGACTCCCACGGTATTTGAGCTGCTGTCAGAGCTCGCAGGCCTCACTGTCCGGGTCGACATCGACGCCGTTGTATTGTGGGATGCGGGAGAAAGGCTGAGATCAGAACGGGCGACTTGCAACTTCGACAAGCAATTAATTCACAAAATTCTGACCAATTCGCCGAAATAAACGAGTGGTGAGTCTAGCAGGTAGTTCACCCCCACTGGGGCTGCGTCATATAATAGCCTCAAGGTCTGCTTCGTTGAGTGTGTCCCTATGTCTGTCATGAGAGAGTATCCGGGGCCGATGCATTTGGGCACTATTGTGAGAGTTAGGTACACTTGCGCGAGTTGAGTGAAATCTTTCGGAGTTTGTGCCTATTATGGCTAGTATATCTTCTGAGCTTCCAACTAAAAAATGTCTATCTATTGAATATTAAACGATGCTCGCCACTGGAAATCACACTCACTCCTAACTTGGGGATTTTGGGCGGGCTATAGGGACACTTGGGCCTGATGGTCCCGTTTAGGCTCGTAGGCACAAATGTTTCCAGGGCGTAGGAGGGTGTAATTCCTCATGAACAGCAGGCTAATCACTTTTGTTCGTGCGGGGAAGAGATAAGGAAGAAAATCTACATCGGCATCCTGGCCGATGATAAGGCTACCAAGGTCCTATGCCGTATACTAGTCCGTTCAAATATCGGAAGTACCCCGAATATCTTTGAGTACCTTGCAATCTACTACTGCTACCTACGTATCTCACTCAAATTACGACGTAGAATTTGTTATTCGAGTCAAAGATTATCTTTTCTTAATTCACCTCCTAAATATGGAATCGTGCTTTACGAACTCGCTACACAGCGCTCTATGACAACGTGTGTAGACGCACATCACGCTGACCAAATTACCAGCCAAAAAAAAGGACTACCGAAATTGATGGACGGGTCTGACTTTTGATCTCGACAGGGCAAAATGAAGCCCGAATTAGTGCTGGAGGGCGGTCAGTCGTGCAAGTCTACAGTGTGCTCAAGGAGGCAATTCAACTTACCGAGATGTCTTCCCATTTCTCCCAGCCGCGTCCACGGACTTGAGCCAACTCTTCATCCGTTAGCTGCTTGCCGGTAGTGAAGTATCCCGATTGGATCTTGGCATCGATCTCGACTCTTGAATCACTAGGGATCATCTCGTCGGGGATAGGAATACGCTCGATAATCTTGATGCCAGAGTCCACGATGGCATCGTGCTTCATGTTCGACATTGAGAGCATGCGATCGATCTTCGTGATACCGAGCCAGTGCAGAATGTCGGGCATAAGAGCCTGGAAACGCATCTGTAGTAAAGGAAGTCAGTATATGCAACCCATGTTAGATGATGCAGATACTTACGTCGCGCACACCGGCAATATTCTCTGTCCGAGTGAAGTACTTATCGGCGGTGTCGCCTCCACGCTTGCGCGCATTGTAGACAAGGTACTTGATCACTTCTCCAAGGGCTCGACCTTCCTTGCGGAAATAAATGACTACTCCACTGCCGCCGTTCTGGGCCTCCCGGATGGCTTCGCGAATACCGAACGCCAAGTATGGTCGGCAGGTGCAGATATCTGACTGAAAGACATCACTGCCATTACACTCATCGTGAACGCGCAGAGCCAGCTTAACATTCGGATCCGAGATACGCTCTGGTGGGCCAAATATGTATACGGTAAGGCCTCCGATCGGTGGCAGGAAGGTTTTCAAATCAGGGCGTGTGATAAGCTCGGGGTAGCTTCCACCGGTATGCTCGAACAAAGTCCGACGAAGGGTGCCTTCGTCAACCCCAAATCGCTCTGCCACACCGGGAAGATACCAGACGGGCTCAACTGCTACCTTAGTGACACGAACCTCGCCGGATGAATCAACAAGGATAGACCCATCCACCTCAAGCAGGCCATTCTTCACATCATCGGCAATCTCGGCGAGTTTCATGTTAGCGCGAGTGACCGCCATAGTTGGACGGATATCCCAGCCGGCTTCCAGCTCCGCCTTGAACTGGTTGACAATATCGTGGCCGTATGGATCCATAGAAACGATCTTTTTCTTATCCGCCCAGGCAGGCTGCGGGGGGAAATTGAAAGTCGGCTCAGAGTTACGGAAGTCCGGTCGGAAATCCGCATCCAAGTCACCAGCGGCAATAGCAAGGGCATTGTAGATGCTGTAACTGCCGCCGTGGGCACCGATAGCATTGCGGCGCTTTACGAGGTTGCCGCTCCGCGATACAACTACCGGACCCCGGGATTTGGCGTCGGGAGCGCCCCACTCAAGTGGGACGGGCTCAATACCGCTCTGGCCTGGGTAAGTAGTTAACTATACTTAACATCAGCATCATAGGACTGGAGTCAGCACAGATCTAATGAAATCTTACGATAATATGGTTGCTGTATCTGGGATTGGGGTCACTGGGAGTTGTTGGAGATGTTTCCGTTGGTACAGGCATGACTGTGGCAATGGGTTCCGTTTTCAACATGATTGTTTAACGAAGATAGAATGATGATCAAGTAGGATACGAAGAGAAGATGTTACAAAAGAAAAGAGAAAGAGAAGAAGGGGGGAAGAGACCAGGAGGGGGAGTGCCATGTGACTTATCTTTCTCCTCACGTTATCTGAGGGGCTTATCTGCATTACAGTACAAAAGAATATATTGCCCAGATTATAGCACTTTACTTTAGTTTCTTGGCTTTGATTATAATGTAGTATTGTGTGCACATAGAATGGTTTATAGTGACAACTTCCCCAGATTGGCTTCTATACTGAGCACATCAAAGTATCCACCGGTTTCCACCGGAGTTCTCCGGCGTTCAATTTAACTGGTCGGAGTTGGCGAACACCGAAACTCCCTGGATTTTTGCCTTGACTTTGGGAGTATCCCCCTGTATTTCCCCCATGAGGTAAATGATTTCTGTTCTAATCTTAATGCCACCACGCTAATTATATAGTACCCACGGCTTTACCTCGCGTCGTCGCAATGGCAAACCAGCCTCATGCGAGCCTTGCCGCGGAGACAAAGTCCGCTGTGACCATGCATTACCTGTATGTACTCGCTGTAGAGATCGTGGAATCTCCATGCGATGTTACTATCACCCCGCTCCCCTAACAAGGGCCAAAGGTCGCCGTTTTTTCCCATTGGCGGAGGGGGTTCCCTTTGATCGACCCCCATCAGCAAGGTGCGTCAATTGTAGATTCACTCTTTGGTGTAAATGTCGTCTTCGAGTGTCGATCATTGACCGATCAATGGTCAATTACTACCCCAATTCACTTCTGTATCTATATCCATATGTATATCCGTCTCTTATGATTGCCATTTCTCAGGAACCCTCAGTCAAACGAGACATCACTCTACCCGTCCGTGTCTGGTGTGGAACAAGAGAGCTCTTCTGGGCGTACCTCAACCCGCACCCAACCACTACTATCCGGGTATTTTGGCCCAACGAGCTTCGTGTCGCCCCTAACTGAGGATGTCGACTTGGGCTCAGACGGTCTGAGTCTGGGCATGGAGATGGAATCTGCCCAGAGAGTCCTACCCCCATATTGGGTCCAAAAGATCTCAGAGATTCTATTGATACTGAATGATTTTGCCACAGTGGAGGCATTAATCCGCGATTATTATGCACTAAGCCAAAGCGCCGTTATACCAGCACCATTCGTGCTGAACAGCCTTGATCCGATCAAATCCATGTGCAAAGAGAACATATCAGACCGTAATCTTGCTGGTTTCGCATCTTCCTTGACAGTAAGCATAATACAAAATACGTCTGAGATTTTCGAAGTTCCGTCTGCGATACACGGGCAAGACTTCCATACGCTATTTACGGGGCCAGCAATCCGTCTTGAGATCATTGGGCTCCTCTGCGCTCTCGCTGGCCGGGCAAGATATCTGGGGCTCGCTAGTGACAGGTTCGATAACGACCGAACCGCACGGTCTCAATATGCGCATACGATGCTTAAAGCCAGCGATACCGCACTACACGTTTCCAAAATCCTTACGCCACTCAATGACCTGACAATATGGTTGGTGCATGAAAATCTCCTGTTGTCGGATATAGTACACGGTGACTCAAGTTTGTTCGGCCTATCTATTCGCCACCTTGCCTTTTCTAACAACTTCTAGGTCCCGCCTGTTGGAAGCGACTCGGCGATCTCTCAACCGACATATTCGCACTAGGTCTCCACCGTGACTCTAAGACCTCGAGCAATATACCCGAATTTCTCTTGGAGTCACGTAGACGGCAATTCGCTGCAGCGTATCAGCTCGACAAGAGCATTGCCACATTCTTAGGCCGACCACCAAGAATACCATGGCGATATGCCGATTGTCGCATGCCACTTGATATCAGCGATGAGACACTCGCTACCGATAACATGGCCCTGGGTTACTCTCACAACTACGTTGATGAGAATGGCTGGAATCTCCAACGAGTGGTCCAGCGGTCATCATGGATACGAGTGCGGTTTATCATCAGCACATTTCGAGATGAGATTCTCGAGGTCTCTTTACAGAATATGACCCCCGAGATAGAAAATATGCTCAAGTCGTTCATCCCCTTTTTTCTACTTTATTTTCAGTCGCTGATACCATCCAGGAATATCTCGCAGAGATGTCATCTAGCATGGGATTCGCTCCCCAATTGGCTTCGCTACAGCCCAAAATGTTGGGAACAGAATTTACACATTGCAGTATCCCTTATGATGATTATTTCATATCTGGCATACCTATACAACGACTTCCTCATCCAGCGACTCATTGCCGGGAAGAATAATCCACGCGGAAACAGAGCACTGCTCACTGTCAGCGCTGACATACTATCAACAGTCCTAACATTAGGCATGCAACGTGAACAAATGGTCGATCTCCGACCAGATTTTGCGTGGACGGTACGTATTGTCAATGAGATCTAGGAAAACTCATTCTAACACCATATGAATGGCAGGTCCTGCTCTACGGATTCCCTAGTGCCAGTCTACTTATAAAAGCCCTACAGCACCAAAAACGCACAGGCGAGCCGTTCCTCTATGAAGGATCGAGGTCGGCACTGATCCGCAATTTGAGTGTCTTTATTTCGCATCTCGAATCTATCGTTCGGCCGGATAATGCTAACTATGCTCTCTTTCAACGGGCCAGTCAGCTGTTCTCAAAGATTATCGATGAGATTCTAGAGCCGCAGTCAATTCTTCCGGACTCGAATCATGGGGATGCGTCTGCTTTTGAATTTGATCCGATGATTGAGGTTGACGGACTGGATTTGTTTAATAACATAGATTTGGGGGTCGCATTTAACCAGTGGTTGCTTTAACAGCGACCTTCTGTGTTGCGAGAGTCGCATGTATATAATCTTTACAGAAGGGGTCTGTGGGTGTTCAAATCAATCTATAGATCTCTATCAGCTTGTCTCTGTCAAAGGGGCCTGTGAAAGGGGCACCCATCAACGTTATGGGTGTGGTCATACCCGACAGAACCAATGAAATAAAACATGACCAAACAAGAGGATAGAACATAGGAAAACAAATCTCATAGCCCGGAACATGAACACTCAAGCCCACAATTGGAAAAGGCCGATGAGAGTGATGGAGAGATATAGGCTCAAAGACGAAATCCCCTATCTGACCAACAATACTATGTAGAACGCTGGGCCGACGTAACCCATGAATTTGGTGCCTGAGGAACTGCCAGCTGGAGTCTAAGTTGCTATAGGAAAGAAATGGCGGTTGTGACGATAATCGGGCAAAGAAAACTCTGCGTGTTTCAGGTTTGCGTCGATTGTTACGTTGACATCGTTGCTAGACTCCCCATGGACGGAGCAGAATAGCGGTTGCATGACCGGATGAGGAAGATGCGAGGGAACTTGAATACATAGACGATTAATAGGTGTCGAGAGCACGACGACCCACAAGAAGAATTCATAGTGACGCGAAAAGGAGACGATCTACAAACAGGTTAAAATGAGAACCTTTGAAAGAACCGAGGGGTTTTTTGCCATGCATGCATGTAGGTATCGTATCTGATTTCCCATCGCCCCCTGTTGGTCCGCGAAAAAAAAAGGAAGAGATTTCGTCACTCTTCAAACCATGAAACGTGAAATGACTTCAATGTTGTTCAACCCAGAATGCTAAGTTTGAAGCAAGGGGTCAGGGTACGTTGTACCGCATCAATCCCGACATCTCGTACACTTAGTTGCTCTGGACAAAGTTGGCCTGAGCCCGGGTATTCTTGATCGTCTTCTTAATCATCTCCTCCACTTCGTCCCAGTCGCTAGTATCAATGCGGTCGATGATACACTGGAAGTGATCTTGAATCTTGCGAAGCATCTCCCACTCATTGTGGTTGGAAACAAATGAGATCGCCACGCCAATACGACCGAACCGACCAGTACGACCGATACGGTGCAGATAGGTCTGGTAGTCAGGCGTGTTGGTGCGCTGGCCACCAGAGTACTCCTCGGGGATATCCTGAAGGCGATAAATGTTAGTTTTGGACGTACAAGCGGACGAACAGTGAACTCACGTAGTTTACGACCAATGACACTGTAGATACATCAATTCCACGAGCAAGGACGTTGGTGGTGATGAGAACCTTAGCTTCACCGCTGCGGAAGGAATCAATCACTGCGTCACGCTGAGATCCTTCGACGCCACCAGTCAGCGAGGCGACAGTGTGACCCTCAGCAACCATACGCTTCTCGATCTCAACAGCAGAGGCACGGGTCTAAACGGCTATCAGCAATATTCCAACCTTGATCTGAGATGATACTTACCCGGACGAAAATGATGGATGATCCGACAGTGAGCAGTCCATAGAGCTGGACGAGGTTCCGATATTTCTCCTCGTCACTGCTGCAGTCCATGTAGAGTTGCTTGATGCCCTCAACAGTCAACTCCTCGTGTTGGAGGGTGATCTCGTTGGCGTCAGGGGCAAACTTGCCCGCATAGCGGTAGACATGGGCGGGGAAAGTTGCCGAAAACAGGACGATTTGAACATTGCGAGGAAGCATCCTACCCAAGGAGGACTATTAGCTGAAAGCTTTCAGTGCCGGATGTTTGAAGTACTTACGCCTTGGCCCGAATACACTGGTCTCCCAGGCCTTGCTGGTCAAGCATGTTATCTGCCTCATCAAGGACCAGGACCTTCAGCCCGGTGGCGTTCATGATACGCTTTTTGATCATATCTTGAACAGTACCAGGCGTCCCAACCACAACTGAGCAATCCATCTTTGACGGGCGAGCATTCGAATCGGCAGGGACAGCAGTGCCGATGACGAGACCTTCGAGGAACTGACCCATAATTTGGATCACGCCGACAATCTGGCGAGCCAACTCACGAGTAGGAGCGAGGATCAAAGCTTGAGGGGTCATTTGCAACTGCTCGGTTGAGAGATCGAGACGACTGAGGATGTTGAGAACGAAGGCCGCGGTCTTACCGGTACCGGACTGCGACTGACCAACCAAGTTCTTTGGAGGGTTGCTCATCAGAAGGGGAAGGGCGCGCTCCTGGACCTTGGACGGCTTGCGGAAGTTCATGGTTGAGAGACCTTTCAGAATGCGCGCATCTCTGGAGTGTGAATCAAGTTAGCCGCGACACACTTGTTTGTACCAGCATATCAGTGAGCAGCACTTACAGGCCCAGATCTTCAAAGCTCTTGACTGAGAACAGGGGGTTGTTGGGGTCCGCTTGCAAGTCACTCAGTTTCACCGCGACAGTGTAGTCGGGCTCCTCGAGATTAGCCGAGCCGTGCGCGGGGGCAGACGCCCCGTCCTCCTTGGGAACGGTGGAGACATCTGAGATATCTGTGAAATTAAAGAAAAAAAATATTAGCTATCAGTCGGGGTATCGCGCGTTTTCCGGTCGTGTGGACTGGAGGAATCAGCGACGGTGGCGTGGTCATGTTGCGTACCGGTGGGTTTGGGCTCATCAGGTTTGGTGATACGATCAGCCAAGGAGCCTGAAGCAGGAGCGGTCTCTGGGTTATCAGACATGGTGAAAAAGTCTGGTGGTTAATCCCAGAAAACAAGAAAGAGTTGGAGAAAGGAAAGAACGATAGAGGGGTCGTGGGGTAAAGAAAAGTTCGTAATGAGAGGAGATGGCGCAAGATTGGGGTTAAGTTGGCGCTTAATGTTTGATTGGGATTCAGGGGAAATGAAGAAAATCAACAATTGAAGCCCCGAGGAGACAATAGCAATAGCCAAAGAAAACAATAGAGCTCTCTTGAATGGAAAGAGCAAAAACAGATGACGCCGAAGGATAGGAACTAGTCCCAATTGGGTCAAAGTGAAATAAATGTTATGGTATTGTATCACAATGGGAGGACACATACTAACTACAAGCAACGTGTATGTTTGGTATTGTCACATGGACCGGTCTTCTCCCCGCCTTGGCTATTGAGCTCATTCTTCCTGTCTGATGGTCTCAATAGTCTATTGAATACTGGCTAATTGGAGACATTGATTCATTTGATTGATACCAACCTTGCAAGATAAGTGGCCCATTGATCAATAGCGCTGAGACTAGGCAACCCCGTCTCATTGTTCGGTCTTCCATTCCCGCGCTATCCCATGCGCGTGTGCCTTGGGATCTCAATACAGCCATGGCGGCCGCAGATGTTGCTCCCCAATTTGGGGCAGAGTTGAAGGTATCAATACTATATGGAGATGTTCAGAGATGCATAGCTAACTGGATTAACCTCTAGGATTCCTTCAAACCAGTTAACAATTGGGTATGGTCCCGACATCGCTTCCCCGCAACCGACCCGTCAGATCACCCTGTGCACTTGAAGTGGAGCTAATGCAAACATGTTGCACAGGTATCGAATGGTATATCATGGGTAGATGAGATACACCAGTTCTACCGCGAGCGCAGTGCCATTGAGAAGGAATACGCATCCAAGTTGACGGCGCTGTGCAAGAAGTACTATGACCGCAAGTCGAAGAAGATCAGCCCCTTGAGTGTAGGCGATACACCCACCTTAACTCCCGGTTCCCTCGAGAGCGCATCGCTCACTACGTGGACTACACAACTGAACGCCGTAGAATCACACGCCGCCGAACGGGACAAGTTTGCGTCAGAATTGGTAGTGCAAGTGGCGGATCCTCTGAAACAAGTTGCCACCCAATATGAAGAAATTCGCAAATGCCACGTTGAATACTATGGCAAGTTAGAAAAGGAACGTGAGGCAGCATACGGCGATCTCAAAAAAGCGAAAGGCAAATACGATGGCGCATGCCAGGAGGTTGAATCCCGCAGAAAGAAAATGGAGTCTGCTTTTGATCATGGCAAGGCCAAAGCACAAACAGCATATCAACAACAAATACTGGAGATGAACAACTTCAAGGCATGGCTCATTTGACTGAAAACTTCGTCCTAATGCTAACATGCGGGTAGAACCTTTATCTCATCAGCATCAATGTGACGAATAAGCTGAAGGAGAAATTTTATCATGAATATGTCCCTGAGGTGATCGATGTAAGATGAACCTACTCCCCATATCCTGGACCAACAATGGTACTCATACTTGCGGTCAGGGTTTACAAAACCTCAATGAAACACGAGTCGCAAAAATGAACATGATGTGGTCGCTTGCCGCTCAACTTGAAAAGTCATCTCTTGAACACAGCACAGAGCATATCGCCAATCTTCTCGTCGAAATCCCTCGCAACAACCCGCATCTGGACTCCTTGATGTTCCTCCAGCACAATGTGACTCAATCGCAGGAACCTGCGAACCTAGGATTTGAGCCGAGTCCAGTATGGCACGACGATGCTTCAATCGTTATCGATGAGGCAGCCAAGGTATTCTTGCGCAATGTGCTAAGTAAGAGTAAAACTCAAATCCGCGAACTGCGAGTCGAGTCGGACCGGAAGAAGCGCGAGGTTGAGGGAAGCAAGAAAGTACGGGAAAATATCCAACATGGCAAAGATAATCGAAACGAATTAGATGTCGTGCGGTCCATTTTCTACATTCAAGAATCCTTGCACGAGGTTGACCGCAAATGGGTTACCGCCGAGGTAGAAACGGCGACTATCATGGCAGTGGCTGGAGATCTGTCACTTGGAGCCCAGAACCACAATTTCCGCTCTCAGACATTCAAGATCCCGACAAATTGCGACCTTTGCGGCGAACGAATCTGGGGCCTGTCTGCGAAGGGCTTTGATTGTCGAGATTGTGGTTACACCTGCCATAGTAAATGTCAAATGAAGGTGCCGCCGGAGTGCCCTGGCGAGCAGACCAAGGAAGACAAGAAAAAGCTCAAGGCCTTGCGACAGGAACAGGCTGGTGCCATGCCTGCTGTGGAGATCGGCACCCCTGCAGCTTCTGCTACAGCCCCGTCCCTGACGCGACAAAATACAATGAACTCCCTTAGCTCAGGATATGCAGCCAGCACCGCTCGGTCGGTATCGAACATTGCTACTCAGCCCACACCAGAAACCCCAGCAGATGAGCCTCCAGCTCCCGTTGCACAGACAAAGCCAGCCGCTGCAAAGAGGAACCGGGTGCTAGCACCACCTCCGGCAGCATACATGACTGCACCTCCACCGAGTGACTCTGGTATAGGCTCGAAATCTAAAGAGCCACGGGGTAAGATGTTGTACGCGTACCAAGCGACCGGTTCAGATGAGATCAGCGTGGAAGATGGGGACGAAGTTGTGATCCTCCAACCAGATGGTACGTCCTTTTCTCCTACCGTTTACATAATATTTACTAACAATTGCACAGATGGTTCCGGATGGCTGCGTGTACGCTCGGGGGGCAACGAAGGACTTGTTCCAGCGTCATATGTCGAAGCTGCCCCAGCCCCGTCACCCGTGCCGTCCGCTACTCCCAGTATGCCTGATCGACCCGGTTCAACGTATTCGAATTCCTCGGCATCCCTGGCTGGAAGCGCCGCGCCGAAGCGTGTCGGACCAGCCGTCGCTCCCAGACGAGGAGCTAAGAAATTGCAATATGTTGAGGCATTGTATGAATACGAAGCCCGCAGCGATATGGAGTGGAACATGGTAGAGGGTGACCGCTTTGTTTTAATCAACCGGGATAGTGGTGATGGATGGGCCGACGTCGAACGGGGTGGCGTTACGAAGAGTGTCCCGGCGAACTACATCCAGGACGTGTAGGTTGCACCCACGGGCCTTCGTACATCTTTTCAGGACAATTGACTCTTGTCTATGTATGGGTCTTTCTAAGGTTCAGTCCTGCTTTCTGTTCTTGTTCATTCTACTGTATAGTCGGCGTCATCAGTGCCGTTGTCATTGTTTTTTTTACATCAGCAAGGAGCATTGGGGGCATTCGTACTTGGCATCCATTCGCGAGTCTCGGATAGAGCATAGGACATGTTGTTTCCATTGAATCTTCAAGGTTAGAACTGTTCCAGTGGTATGTAGTGGCCAATGCAGTCAAAGATATCATAAACAGCATCAGAGCCTATGCATCCGCGCTTTCCATTTTTGTATGTATATCTTCAAGGCAATAAAATCATAATCATCAATCATCATGCGAGTTATTGACCAGGTTCGCCGCCTGAACCCCTCCTGTTATTGTGTCACAGGGGGAAATCCAGTATCTAAATGCTCGAACCCTGTCTCAGCAGACCACATATACCTAGACCAATCCTCCACATGAAACACTTCCTCCATAACCGGCATCTCCAAATCCATATTCATGTCGCCCTCATTCATGTATCCCACTGTGCCATCGCTCAATTCTAGCGCAGGGTCCAGCGAGAAGTCAAAGGGGTTCACCCCTTCGAGTGGACTAACCATGGGCAAAGTGTGCCCGAGCTGGGAACCCGAAACAGGTAGCGTAGAAGGCTGAAGAGAATAGGCAGGATCGAACAAGGCAGCAGCGGCCTCAGCCCCGGTGGTAACGGGATACTCTATGGGATACTCATACAGTGAGCCCGGGGCGGAATGTGAAGCGGAGCCACCCTGCCCTGGGCTGAGTGTCTGATTTGATTCAAACCCCGGCATAACTGACCCAGAGAAAGACACAGTTTGTCTAGATGACTCAATCCTAGAAGAGCCCTCTGAGCCCGACCAATCTCCCCCCATAACATCGTAGATAGGAGTCTTTCCGGGCGACGAAGCCGATGAATTCGAGCAGCCGGACTTTGACCCGGACCTAGACTTCGACTTTGCAGCGGTTGAGAGAGGCTTCCCTGCAGGACCGGAAATTGATCCCGATGGACTTGGAGTTGGACGTGGACGCGGCGCAATGGGAAGGAAACCGTTCGGATTATGCCGCGGGTAGAGTCTTCCGTGGCTCGAGGCTTTCTAGAAAAAGAGCAAACAGCAATCAGCACCATGGCGCTTGCAATTTCTCTTCTTCCACATGCCGAAGATATGGCGTCTGTTGGCGGTATTGTATTTGCGTTACTTTTGAAGGACATTTGAGCTCTGCGTCACGCTTTGCGCGTGCATGCTCGATTGGAGATGTGCAAGGTGTGGCATTGCATATTGTACATGTTGCGAAAGGACGACCTTTGCGCTTGATGCGAATCAACGGACGATCTAGGTAGGGTTTTATCAAGGTTAGTTTTTAAGGGCTTTTATAAATCAGAGGAAATGGAGTTGGGATATAGGATATGGGGGAGTATACAGCGAGGTATGGGAAAATGGGAAAATTGGCAAAGATTTAGGTACTAACCATGATGTTTGCAGCTAGTAACACGGTGGCCCCGTATACAAGCTTCACACGCCCACTTATGACCGTCGATAAGCATCCCTCGTTAAGATGAGAAGTCATGGTGTATGGACGGGAAGCAGCTTATATACCTTTTTTCCCCCCGTATGGTGAGGTAGAACTGAGGGGTCAACCCGGATATTGAGAGTTATGATGACACAGGGACATTTTTTTTATTTATTTTATCACTCTATTACTTACTCCGGCATAGGCATGTTTCTGTGCGTCGCGAGAAATCAACCCTATGATTTGACCGGTAGTCACAGCCACAGGATCGACTAGGACTGGCTCGTGCATTTAGAGGGTGCTGTACTTTGTGGCTTTTTTGGGCTCTTTCAGGGTTTTTTTTTATTTAATTTTGATACTTAGGTTGATTTTGACTGGAGCTTGGACCATAGTTTCATGCTAATATAGGGTACTTTTGCGACGGCCGTGGGTCTCCGACAGAAAATACTAAAAAGGGCAAAACGGTTGCAAAGTACAGACGGAATACCGCATTATAGCTATGAGGGATTTTTGAAAGCTCCGGTCGGAGAACTTCAATTGTCCACGCGACATCCACTTGATTTTGATCAATTTTGATCAATTTCATAAATTTGATAGATTTGAATATGAAATGTCTCCAATTTTCTCCAAAATCCTTTCCAACTAAAAATTGCCTCATATATCAAAATTTTTTAGATCTGGAGCTTACTAACCTTTTACTCAATCGAGACGCCCGTTCCACCATGCGGCTGGTGAAATCGTGATATCTTTCGCCAAGAGAGAAAAGTACAAGGGTCTGCATCTGGAGGTGGCTGTGCTGATTTAGGGCTTTTTTGCCAATTTTCTCAACGGTGAAGAAATCTGTTTCAAATTATCTTCTTCTTCTTCTTATTGTTACCTATGAACCTTCAATTGTTGACTTTTTTCTCATTTATTTTTTCCTTTTTCACGAATATCAAACTAAGAAAAAAAAAAGAAAAAAATCAAGCTCTTACCTTTACCAATCATAACAACCCGGAGCTGACCGTCAGCCCCGCAGTATGCGCCATTTTATATATACCTGAGGCATTTTTTCTTTCCACTGGTTTCTCAAAAGCGGGATCATTCCTCGGTTTAAAGAAAAAAAACAATTCTGTCGCCTGTTGCACGGGACAGCGTTGGGGGTAAATTGCCATTTCCCTCTCCCTCCTTTTTTTTTTTGTGCTTTCACCTGAAAAACTTTGAACCTCAACATCCAAAAGAATTCTTTTACATCTCGTCGCGCAAAAGGCTTTAGGGGCTATACTCTTCTCGGATAATGGTATCCCCCCCACTGATCTACCAATCTGGCAGGAAACGGTCCACAAATATTTTGAATTCTTGTCCTTCAACGCTTTCGAGAGAACCCTTTCAGAGCTAGGCCATGAGATTACCTCGAACGATTTAGACCGGATAATGGTGCCTGGCATCACTTGTGTGACATTTGGACTTCCTGTTAACTCGATCGCGGGTAAGCGTGTGAAGAGAATATTCAAAGTCTCAAGACCACAAGGGGCGGACATGACTATTTATACTAGAATCTTTAGCATCTCCTCGGAAGGAGCAAATGTTATCGACATTGCAAGGATTGCTTAGGATATCTGTGCGGGAATAGCACCCTGTTCGCTGAGTTATATGGCTCATATCAATATATCACGCCTCCTGGCTCGGATTGGGCTTACATAGCTAACTTAGTTACACCGACTATTTCACTAATGTAGAATTAGCACCTCAAAACAAGCATTGATGCATATCTCAAACGTCTCGATTTGGCTGCGGTGTTTCTTTCAGCTCCATACAATCCCACCCTTCCGTATCACCATGCTGACTAGGACCCGTCAGGGGTAGGGCCGAGGCCCGAACCCAGAATCAACATCTCGGACAAATGAGCTATGAGCAGGCATATCTTCACCCTCGTTTCATGTAGAGAATCCTGGCCACACAGATACCATCTTCGATCAAGTCTTCCAGTCCCCATGGTGATAGCAGTCCACGCAGGATGTACATTTTTGTGACGCGATATCCATATCCGCAAATATCATTGGGTGCCACACAACGCTTTGGTCTGATGGGATTCGGATTACATTGGTCTAGTCCAGTCTTGCCAAAGTAAAACTGTTGACCCTAGCACCGTAAATCCGTAGCACAGCAAGCTGTTCCATTCGTCAACTCACACTTCCACGGGCGACTGCATCCACTGTCTGGTCGTAGGATCGAGACACGCTTTCTCCGCCTCTTTCCACTCGCTCATGACCAAATCCGCTCTCTCCTTTGACCTTGGCATAATCCTCGCCGGAAATTCCTCAGGCATACACACAAACCCTTGCGTCAAGCGGTCAGGATCAGGCAAAATCGGAATTCCCGCGGCATCGGTTTCTGGCGTAATATTGAACGCCCACAGAATGCGCGACATCCCAAGGAACAGACTGCGCTCGGCTACATGCATGCCGGGGCATATACGACGCCCTGCACCGAAAGTGAAAACATCCCGCTTCGACGGATCGGGGTTTGCCGCTGCGTCTCCGAAACTCTGGTAGTCATCGTGGTACCGATCGGGGTTGAATTCTCGGGGGTTGGGATGACGGGCCGGGTCCATGTGAATGGCCCACACGTTGTTCATCACGCCAGCGCCCTTTGGTATAAAATACCCTTTGTACTCGTCATCTTGAGTGACTGCGTGTGGAACGGCCCCGAGATTGGTTGTCGGCATCCATCGGACTGTTTCTTTCATGCAGCCCCTTACGTACTGCAGGTCCGACAGGTCGTCCATGACGGGTAGGCGGCTCGAACCTACCACCCTTTCGATCTCTTCTTGGGCTTTGCGTTGAACATCTGGAAACACTAGCATGGCTTGAACAAACGCATACAGTGTGCTGGATGTAGTGTCCGAGCCGGCTTCCAGGAGGGTTCCAGAGATATAAGATGCTTGATCGTCGCTAAACCCGTCTTCTTTCTGCGCCTTGTACATTCCTGCGCAGAAGCATGGCTTGATTGTGTTCTGGTGAGCCTCGTCCTTTGCTCGTAACCAATGGCTCAGATACAACGCTTTCTCCTTTTTATGGAGATCTTTTGCTTTCTGTTGTGCTGGGAGAAGAAAGTCGGGTAAGTTCCGCAGCCATGGGAAGAAGTCAATGATCGCTGCTGTTCCGGTCTGGTTGAGATCTGCAAATTCCGAGAAGCCGTTGAACAATTGCATCATTTTCTCGTCTTCGTATGTAGGCGTACGCCATCCGAAAACCATCGTGGTTGTGAGGGCATTGGAATATCGTCGAATATGCTTGAGGAATCCTTCCGGTTCCGTCAGGAGCTGGTATAGCATTTGCCGATTCTCCAACATCTGGTAGGGTAAGTATTTCTTGGATGTCGTAACGTTAAGCAGGCCATGCACCATTTTGCGAAACTGGAATCAAGTTAGCACAAATATTGCAATGATTATCAAAGTTATGTCTACCCCACGCCATCTTGGTCCATATTCCTAGAGATGGAAGAATTGGTTAGCTACAAGGCACATTCGAAAACAATTTTGTTTGTTATGACTTGCCATCATTAGCATTCTGAGGTTACCGCTGCACAAAATCTGACCAATATACAACTCTGGGCAATCCGAATATATACCACTTCTTTTATCCAAAAGCTCTTTGACTGTCTCGTCGCTGGACAGCACAATCAGACACTTAGTACCTAGCATTAAACTATATATTGGGCCATATTCACGGGCCCATTTTTCAAATTTAAGATGAGCATCGTGAGAAGGCATCTTAATGCAACAAATTAGTTCGAAATCCTTTATTCGGATAAACATGATCACATACTTGATGAATATTCCCTAAAAGGGGCAATGTTGGAGGACCCGGGGGGTAGTTCTTTGGTCGACGTCCAATTTTGAGAACGCGTGTAAGAATTAGGAAAGCGATAGCTACCCCTATTATCGCGGTAATTGGTAACATTTTGGATATCTAGGAATTATTTTCACAGCTGAGTGAGTCCAAAGCTGCGTTCCTGAGAAAAAGATTGACATTGAGATGAAGGTCCCTTGAGACATCCCATGTATAAATATCCCCTGTATATATATTGGTACTTGTGCGTTGTTATATTCTAACACGGCTCAACCATAGTTAGTATATCTGTCGATCTCGGAGGTCGAAGCGGGATATGCGTATCTGCGGATGCGGGGGTGGATGCCGGAGTGGATGTGGGGGAAGTATCTCGCATAATTGTCCTCCAGGGCTTCGCTCTTCTAATAGACTATAATTGTGAATTAGTTTATCGAAAGATCTCCAGCTGGATTTATACCATTTTTAGAAGTCCAGAATTGAGTTGAAGTCAGTTCCACCCCCTAAACATTGTGGTAAAGGCTCTGGTCGATGTTCCGGAGCAAATAAGTACTGAGATATAGATATTGTTCGCATGCTGGATATAAAAGCTAGTCATAAATATTTTGCAATAGACTCGAATGAAATCACCTACCTTTAATGCTCACTGTGTGATTATCAGACGCCTATCCCAGTGGGCGGAGCAGGAATCAAAGTGGAGTAAATTGTAAATGGAGTGGAGCTGAAAGACAACGCCAAGTGCAAAAGTAGAGTCCAGGTACGAAAATAGCCGCGCAATAAATATAGCTGAACAGTATTTGGTTCTTGCCGTAAATGTTGCATGATCCCATCCCTGCTGTTTGTCGATTCAGACTGAGCTCGTTGTTTGCCATTTTGGGGAATTGTTTGCTAGATTTATAGGGTATAAATACTCCCTTCCTTCATGGATTTCACCATACGGAATACAGATATATCCTTCTTCGTCTCTCTCCCGCTCGATATCCCCAACAGTAAATAAACAATCCTATTGGAACCTTGGAAAGATGATCTGCTTACGTCTACCCGGTGGATCTCGCGAGGTCTTGGCATGTCAGCAACTCGCATTACCTATTCCAAGGCTTTAGAATCCTGTTGCCTTCCTAATTGTACTCTCTACGTTACTTTGTAGCTCGGCTATCAAGGATCGGCATCCTGGGAATGGCGTGGGCTTTGTAAGTTGCTGGGTGAACTATATACATGTTACTATGTATGTAGCTGTATTTCTTCATAGAGATATAAGTTGCGAGTTGATTGACGTGAGGAAATCCCGTTTTCTGAAGATAAAAAGGCAAGCTACTTTACGACTTTCTAGTAGTATTATTTCCAAGCTCTTTATAACTTGGAATATGTCATCAACCCTTAACTCCGTGCCAAGGCCATTCAGCCACGCTATAATAAGCGCCAAGAAGTCATCCTCACGGCCAAACTTTGGGTAAGGTAGATCGAAACTTAAAATAAGCTTTGAAGCCTCTATATAATTAAGTAGCACAGCCGTTTAGACATTTTATTGAGAGACTTCGAATCTTTCGCCCCTTATTTACCATGTACTTTCCGCCGTTTACCACACTATTCGTCCTTCTCCTCAGCTTCCAAGCTATGGGCGCAACTATAGGCATTCGGTCTATGCGGATTGCTGAGCCGGACAATACCCTCGAAGCTACTACTCAGACGATAGTACAATCCCAACCAATCCACGATGCACCGTCAGAAACTGCTCTATCTCCAAGATACAAACGTAAAGGTCGTGAGACTATACCCGGGCTCCATGAAACAACAGTCGACTGGAGAGAGGATGGGTCTGAGTCTCTCAGGCTTGAATCGGAACGGGAGGCCGGTTTCCTTCCAGGATCCTACAATGAGAGGTAAACATTGAATCCAGTTACGATCAGCTAGTCACTAACACGATTTGCCAGTGATATCCCAGTACCGTTTCTTTGGCCTTTGTTCAAAATCTGTATCGTTTCCGCAATAGCGATTTGTGTTCTCAAGATAGCCCGGGACTTGAAAAGATAGCAATGTAAAATTTATTCATTCCGTGTGGGTGAGATTTGGATTGTAAAGCAGACCCGGCTTTCAAATCTGGAAAGTCTGAAAGCCCATAATCAGATCATTAACCTGGCGCATACTAGTCTGATCATATCGATTCAAGATTGGGTCCAACGGACCCTCGTCGAGTGGCTCCAATTCATTCTCCGGCTTAGATGTGCCAAGTACTGCCAATCGATCTACCATCAGGTGGGCTAAAAGCCAGTACTCTGGCGCATAGCGGAAGAACCCCATTCGTCTCCAGAGCTCCTCTGGTTGGATTTGAGGGTCCCCAATTGTCATATATGGAATTATTCTTTGAGAGAAAGTCGTCGAGAACAAGTGCCAGATATCTCGCCAGTTACTGAGTGCATTTTGTATCGGGGCTCGGAGTTGGAAGCTGCCCACTGCACTGCGGAATTGAAATAATTGTGAATGGATTGCTAATGGTTACAGTATTAAAAGGATTGGATCGTGAAGGCATGGATTGTAGCTTACCTGATGTTAATGCGAATAAATTCAATGGACCCAGAGTAGCGAGGAGGTGACGGATGTTGACAGATAAATCGTCATTACATAGCGCCTCGAATGACCCATGGAACGAGGTTGTCCAGTAGAGACTTCTTGCGGGCAAAATGAGCTGGAGTTGATGGTGGCATTGGTCTGCCGTTGTCGCTTGGAAGCAAGCTTCTGGTGTAGCCATATGCATCCTTATTTCTTTGATGACCATCCGCGGAGGAAGGTTATTAAAAATGACAAATGCTGAATCTAGTAAGAATATCCAAGTGAACAAACTAGGTTTAAGAATGTCAGTGGCTATTTCTTCAAGCGCAACATTGAGACTCACCGGATGAGTTCCTCCCGAGCTGCATATTCTTTCCATTCGAACTCATGGCGAGCCTGCTCGCTGTAATTCATATGCCTCGCCGCTGTAATGCCAATATCACGAGCGGTCTTCGATTCATTAATAGACTGGTGGGACACAGGCTCGGGGTACACTTACAGATACCAGAGTAGCAAAACGGTACCGCCGAACGCGGCTCTTACTCGCATCCGTACCCTCCCAATTCTGATAGAGACAGACTATATAGGCAGCCTGTACGGCCTGAATTTTGCGCCTTTGTGTGGCCATTTTGTCAGAGGATCGGTAAGTCAAATCACTGTTGAAATCGTCGTCCATGAAAACCATTTCTTCCACACAGTTAAACCAGGTGCGTGCATCTTCGTTGTCAGGCATATCGGGTGATACACATGCACCTTTCAATAATTAGCGATTACTAGCCCTATAACTGGTGGACTGTCTCACCTATCAAAGTCATCGCAGCTAGGACTGTTGGCTTCGCTGCCAGTATGTCGAACGAAGGCCGGTGCACAAAGTTCACATTAGGATGCCATATTGCCCAGTAGAAGCCCATGAATCTTATTATATTTGAAGGAGAGAAGAACTGCACACATGCATCATTGAGTGCTGTTGACCAGTCCAAGGTGACAGAGCTATTGCGCGGTTTGATCGTGACCACTTCTTTAATTAAGAGAAGAATCTCGTGTGTCTTCAAGGAAAGTGGATCATTGAACCAATTTAGTGGCAAGTCGCTGATTAAACTTGTATCACTGTTATTTTCCGGTATCAAAGGAGATGGGACATCCATGCCAAAAGCTGTTAGTGACGTTCTCTGCTGTAGGCGAGACAATATTTGCTGGTCTAATCTGGCAGCAACCTGTTCTCTTTGCTCATGCGTTCCACAGTCAAAGCTCGACACTAGACCTGTATTCCTAGTAAATTTGTCCAGAAAGTGCAGCGATTTCCGGGGGCTATCACTAGAAGCAGCCATTTCAAAAGTTGCCGGGCTTTCGGGAGCTAATGTCAAGAATTCCGGCCAGATTGAACTAGAATTTTGCATAGGAACTGGATCAAAGAGGGTATCGATTGGACTTGTGCCAAAGTATTGCAGTTCCTCCATATCGATACCCCACGGCATCATTGGATTGGATGTCGATGGCGGTGGGTCTGTAAATTGAAGATTGACTTGTTGGTCCTTGTTGGTATCCTTCGTGAAGCTATGTCGGTTTGGTCTTGATGAAGACCCTTTGTCTGTGGAATACCGACACTGTGCACCACTTCTGGCGCAGCTGTGACATGGTTGATTGGAGTTACAGGCCTTTTTCTGACGGACGCAACGATCGCAAGCACTTCTTCGAGTACTTGCTCTGGAGGTGCCGCCTTCACAAGTCCGCAGATGTCGCTTCAAGACATCAGCGCGCTGAAAAGCCCCATTGCATGAATTGCATTTGTATGGCCGATGTGATGTATGGGTGCTAATATGGCGAAACAGGTGTTCACGTCGTTTATACCGCTTGGGGCATAATGAGCACCCGTATTTCTCGGATTCTGATGTCTCGGGGGTTAAAGAATATTTAGTTGACATTTTTGAACAGAAAAATTTGTCTCGATGCAAGTCCGGGGGAGTCCGCGGGGAGAGTACAACATAGTGGGCCGAGAATCTTGGAAATCTTAGAGTTTTGACACGGCTGTGTTGATCGGTAATTGCGTTCTACGCCTGGGCAGTTTCTTTCACATATGCCGACCTGGTTCATTAATATACGCTATTGTCATCTCATGAGCTTTTAAATACCATAAAAGAATAAAGAAGAAGAAAAAAACAGTACAAGGATATCTTCCAAGGTTCTAATAGTTGTAAACCTCTATAGTTCTACATACGCACCTACTATCACAATCATCCTAAAAGCGATTACTACTCTTCGTATTATTTAGCTGTTCAGTTCCTTCTATATCTAGTGTCAATAATACTACCTATTTTCTTTTAGCATTAGCTAGGTACTAGATATAGTGGAAGTGTGGCGCAGGAATTGTGCAGTATTATTCTAGAGCTAACCGGATATATACCTTAGAAGTAAATCATCGATATAATCAGGCAACGGATGACAGTATTATTGTTGCATAGGGCCTATGCTCTGGTCTCGTGGCAATCATAGGCTGATCGCCCAATAATATGTACTGTATTATCCCCTGCATCAAAACTCGTACATTTATTGTAGGCCAGACTCAGGGCAATGGTGACGATCACGGAGTATCCTCCCCTTGCTCTATAACAGCTAAGAGCTTCCGGCATGAAACCATCTATGAAATTACGCTTATATGGCCTCTATCCTAGCATATTTCTCATTCAATTCCTTCAAGCAAAAATGATATACTGTCTCCGGAGGTACGGAGTAATGGGATGGTCCTTCCTTATCCACTCTAGCGTCAAAATAATCAGAAGCAAAAGCAAATATGGAGATGATATCAAATGCACCTTTCCAATCCCCCCCCCAAGACGATGCTACCCAAAAATTAAGAGGTTATATTTCAAAAGCACGGGACCGACGGGTGCGTGGACGGGCATACGATCAACACGGGTCGGCCCTTCGAATTGAAACGCCATTACCCAACCCGGCAGTAGATTCTATAAAAGAAAAAAGGCAAACAAGGTTCAAATCCCGGTCCATGCGCAGGATGTTGTGTCACCCCTGAAACTTTGTGTTTCTCGTGCCTGAAGGTTTGAACCATTCCAATATTGGAACAATATCAGCCACTCCGTACGTGCGAGTATCTTGCCATTTATGTTTAACAATCAAGTTTCAAGGGTCCAGGCCTATAATCATAATTGCGGTAGGACTCGGTAACTAGGACCCCATAGCCGCGTGGAGCCCGCCGATCATTGTTTGCTATGGTGTGTACCAATGTTGAGGTGATCGACAGTGATGCGGGTGATTGAGCCTGGGCACGTTTGCGCCCTCGGTGATCCTAATGTGTTTTGATCCTGTTCCTTTCCCCCGGGACTGCAGGGGTCACGAGTGCTACCGTGGGATTGGGGTTGAACCATGAGGCAAAGACCGAAATAAGCAAATATTCCGATGCCGTCATCGCTTTATACCTTGCTTCCAGGGCTAGTACCAAGACTTTTCCCCCTCAGGTGGACAAGGGGGGTCGGGCGCCTGATGAGCATAACTGTATAGTGGAGAATGGGGTGGGTGTCTGCAGAAAACGTGGTTTTTTGACCATCACTGACAGCTTTAGCAGATATTTAAATTTGTACTACTGGGATGCTCTCAAACGAGATAGAGAAAAATCAAAAGTTCTTGCAAAATAGTGGACTATAATAGGTCCTTCAATGTCTTTGATAACTGATAGAATATATACAAAATTCAGTAATAAGAATAGAAATGATATGTCCCCCAATTTAGGCTTGTCGCCAATGTGTGCCAAAGAACTCCTCGCTGTAAAACCTCGCTAGCCCAAAGAAAAAACACGCTTGTAAAAACGCAAATCAAGATCCAACAAAAGAAAAATATGGACGCAAAGTCATGCTTGGAAAAGAATAGCCTCGTATAAGAGGACAATATGACGTCGAGAGAAGTGCACCGCTGGTCGGTTGCGTGTTGTACAAGTAGATGCCAAATGGAAAAGGAAATAAGATGTAGTTCATGTAGTCGCCCGAGATCGGTTTCGACGAAGTTTTAAATCGTCTCGGCTGAGAAGTCGGCGTAATTTAGAAACAAATCGGCATGGTCGACCATCTATGAGAATGTTAGAACTACGTGCGACTGAAAAAAACAAAGGGATAGGATTAAGCTTACCACTGATGCGACGCATGGACATTAATGGATCATCGATAGGTTGTGTTGTGTAGGCTGCAGCCCAGTATCCTGTGTCACGGTAACCGGTGAAGGTGCAGTTGCTGGGGTTGTACTGTGGCTGCAGGGCCGCGACATGTGGGTAGAGCGTTGCTAATGGTGAAAGAAGCTCATCTGGCGGAGGTGACCGTCTGCTGTCAATGCTGCCTCGAGACTATAAGAATATAAGTTAGATCGTAACCTTGGAAGTAGATCGATGTTACTTACATAGAGCTCATAGTTGGTCTTGTAACTCATGTTGAAGTGGTATTTATATCATATGTCTTAACATGCAAGACTCAAGAGACCTTGGATTTAAATCTGTAGTGAGATGCAGGTTCAACTAGCGAACCTGTCTGCATTTAAAGGAATCATTTAATACTCAGCCGCAGTAATTTGGAAGCGGGGGTAGATCAGACAGCTGATCCACTAGTAGCCTAGTTTCCTTTTTTCATAGATAAAATTTTGTTATAACCGGGAAATCGGGTTTTCAGGCACTCTATGAAGGTAAATGAGTCCTTATCATTGGATGATCGGGGGCGTCTGAGGGTCAAAAGCCGATCGGAGTCCCCGATGTGGACAAGTCTCAAGATACGAGGACTCGTTTGATTATCAATACGAACCTTGGAATGTCATCTCGTTCTTCTCTTCCCCCCCTTGCATCTTTCTTTTTTTTTGCCTTTCTGCCCACGTTGTTGTTTATTCTATTTTATTTTATATTTTTTGTTTTTGATTCTTTTTTTTTTGTTGGGAAAACTTGTGCTACAGGAGGGTACTCACAGATCCAAAATATGATATGAGATCAGATCCACACCCGAATAGATCCGGGATCCTACCTCTTCGCTAATGAAAACCTTAGAAGATCAAAATGTTTAATGATGGGGAGAAGTGGGCCTCGAAAGTGACAGGCATGTCGGAGTAAAAAAGAACATGGAAAACATGAGATCTCTGATCTTCCGCTAGTCCTTCCAAATAATTTCAGGATGATCTAGGGCGAGATAGTCGAAGAGACTAGCCTGGAAACTATTGAATTATTGATGCACTACGAAGTAAGAGATCTGGATCTACCATGGGGGTTTCCTAATAAGGACTAGTGGACAATTCCATTGTCGCTTCACAGCCACACACCCCTTGCTATTTGGGGATAAGCGCACAAGCCACATCCTCGGTCTCACCGTGGCTCATTGTGGCTCACCGTGGCTAGTGATCACATCTGTGGCTCAAGCTTGGTTTTTCAATAGCTTCCCAGATCCACACCTTTCACCTCGGAAGGCCGAACTAGTCCGCCCTTGATCTTCAGTTATCGATTTTAGGATGGCTCGGCCTTCCCCGTCCGCGCTTGGGCGCGAAGCTATAAGGCACTCGCCTCCCCCAGAATCATAGACTCTATTCCCAATTCAAGTCTAAATCCACCTCAAAATCCACCTCTAGTTTGAGATCCTCTTTCTTTTGCACATACTCTCAACAATCCATGTCGACTGTCGAACATGTCACTGAGAATGCAGGGTTCTGGAAGAGAGTGCTGGGAAAACTCTCAACATCTAGACATACGCGATCCTTGTTTTCGCGAGCAACACGCTCCAAGTGAGTTACTTCCCACAGTTCCTTCCCGATCTCGTCTATTGGGCCGGTTGCACAATGACCAATATTCTGAGACTTTTTGGCATTGTTCCAGGATCCATCGAACGAGACGCTGAACGCATCTCTGATAGGCGCGAGCGCTCTCGTGAAGAGGGGATGACCAATTCAGAGTCTCAGTCGATGTTGAACGACGAATTTGGTCGCGTGGATCCCACGGGCTGGTTCCCACACTATAAGAATTGTGTTCAGCACTTTGTCGACTATAGCCAGCACACACCCCAAGTGCAGTCCATTGCCGCGTTTATCAATATTCGACTACCCTGCCAGCAGCTTTCTGGGTGCAGTGCACCAGTGTCTCCATCAACGCCATCGTCCTTTATTTCACTACGGCCATATATCAGACGGTTGATTGTCACAGCGCAGGACTCACCGAGTGTTATGCAAGGTTTCTTCGGTGGTGACTGGGAGGCTGGTGTGGGCTGTATCTACAAACAAGAGCGGGTGAATTATCTGTTCACGGCTAAGAGCAGTGGTTGGGCATCTACAAAAGCCGCCTACGATATTTCTCCAGAAGAAGAGACCCCCTTCTTGAGACCCCTGCGCGACCCTTCGGAGGATGAGATTCGGGTGGCCGAGACGCGGTGGAGTGAATGGATGGCAATGGAGGATTGGATGATCGGAGCGCGCAGTCCCTGGTAGGATGCCGCGGTGATGAGGCACGAATTTTCTTTTTCGTTACCCAGTTTTCTCTTATGTTTCTTGTTCCCCAAAAAATATATAGTGCTTGTGATGTCATATCACAGTGGAGTATAATGACAAAACGGTCTTTTATTTTATTTTTTTCCTCCTGTGTCCTAGGAAAAATATTCCCTGATACATCATAAGCATGTCAGAAAGAAATGTTTAGAAAAATTTGATTTTTAGAAGAGCAAAAGAGTATCGCGGGTCCCACGCCAGAATCGATAGTGTCGCACCGCCACACAGATGTGACAAATATCTAAGCGACTCGGGGATTCAATTGGTACGGAGTACTCCGTTTTTCCTTTTTTTTAAAAAGAATTCTAGTAAACTACGAGAAGTCTCCAACTCACGGTCCATCTGTCAACCTGTCACTTTATGAATAAATTGATAGTCTCAATTCCTTTCATCTAAAATCACCCCTGAATCCAGGTTCCCGGGAATCTGGCACATCCAAATGGCAATATGCATCTACGAGCACGATGTAGCCACAATAATGCCGGTACTCATATCTGAATTACCGTATTCCACTTCTCTACTCCGTCGAATTCAACATGGAATCACGTATCCGGTTAAGACCGCTCACATACTGGCAACATTCCCGGGTTCAACCCCTGAACCTGGACAACCATGGCTGGCTGCGCGGGTGGATCTATTCGCCGGCCGCACAACACAAATGTTAATCTACTCCAGCCTTGAAGCGGAGCACACGTCAATTTCTCCGATCGCCGTCAGCGATAGTACCAAAGCCACGACACCGGAGATATTAACTGTGGACTCGGGATCCAATAATAACAAAAACAATGCCAATGATGATGACGCTGACATTGACATAACCAAGTCCACTATTTCCATATTTTCCGCCAACCCAGCTGTCCTAGCCCTGGCCCGCGAGCAGATCTTGGCTTTACTATCATATGTCAAGACTCACCTATTGCCATCCTACCTGTCACATTTGGCGAAGTCAGCACAAGCCACATCTACGGAGGTTGGAACTACTCCTGTGCCGATACCCTCGGTGGCCCCAAACAGCACCAATCCCACTGCCAATAATATTGTGCCTTTGATCCCCGCACCAGATCCACAGGCCTTCCTCATCGGCAGCCTTCATACGGGTCTATTCTCTCTTCTGCAGCGATCTGGTTCTTACACGCTATCTAACCCGATACCCAATATCCGGGTCCATCGCTTTGATGATCCGCCTTATTACAAGTACTTCTTCCGGAGATCTGAGTTCAGCCCCGATGCAGATTCTGGAAAATCTGCAAATCTGCCGTTCGTGGATCCGCCCCTCCCGTCCGGATATAGATTCCATGATCGCGAGGGGAGGGTGGGTGTTCTGAGTAAGCATCTAGATCTTGTGCAGAGTCGGACACATATTCCCCGGCCAAGAAAACAGCTATCTATGATGCCCGGTATGGCAATTTATTTTGATTCGGGGTCTAGTGATGCTGATGAGATGCCTATTGCATGGGGATTCTTGGGGGTGGATGGAGCGCTAGCGACATTACATGTTGAGCCGGAGCATCGGGGTCGCGGGCTTGCGGTTCCATTGTCCAAGGCTATCATGCGTCGTGGCATGTCAGTAGATGGTGTTTTTGGGGCTGGCGTCAACTCTGAGGATAGTCAGACTAGAGAGCGTGTTGGGGCTTGGGCGCATGCTGAGGTGGCTGGGTATAATAAGGCGAGTCGGAGGGTCATGGAAAAGATTGGGGGTCAGGTTTTGACGACTGTGACCTGGACTGTCATTGAGCTGTGTGGCTAAAGGTTCTCATCTTCCTAGATTTGTCTATATAAACACGATATATATATATGTACCCAGTAGAAGATAGATTTACATACGTGCACTTGGGTGTCTTTATGCTTTTAGAGGGTATATCTGGTGTATTTTACAAGGAAAAATGGAGTAAATTATATCTTGTGTATATATATTGCATGGTATGTGGTCCCTTCATTTTCATAATTTGCATAGGTTATTAAATCAGTGGAAAGTTATCTAGAGTTGGAAGTGCCCCAGAAGAGAACCGCCATCCACTCCAACGAGAAATCTAACCGATCTATGAGTGCTATATCGGTTTAGACCTCGCAAGATACTTCCAACCAAATCCAACGGACTCTTTTCCAGCCCTCGCACATTGTGCGTGCAACAGCTCTCATTGAGGGCACTCATCGACTTTGGGCCTTCTTGGCTAGTCAAGAAGGGGATAATACAAAATTTTCAGCCATGATAGAGAGCGCTTAGACCGTCATTTTTAGCGGCTAGTATATTATCAAGTTGTATATGAAGGGCAAGCGACACTCGGGGACGCCCCGGAAGTTCGGGTGGAGGAAGGTCGCCAGGTTCTAAAGCTGTAGACTATATCTATTCTAGAGAGAATTGTATATAGATAAAAAAAATACTATCTAGAATCTCTATAAAGAGTATATTGTTTATTTTTCTCATAAAAAAAAGTGTTGGGGAAAATGACTGACTCATACCTGTCAACCCTGTCCCCAGATATTGCCAAATTAGGTTTAGCGGATGATCGATTGCAGGTGATTTCACGAGGGGAAAACTTCAACTTCTCTGTTTTTCTTTCATATCCAAGCCATTGACCAATCTTCTTTTCAAAATGAGTAACCCTAAAGGCGTCGCTGAGAACATGCTCTGGGGAGGCCGCTTCACCCGTGAGTTCCAAAACCCCTCCGTCCCACCAAGCCCGACTAAAAAAAACCTCAGAGGGCCTTGACCCCCTTATGGTGCAGTACAACACATCGCTCCCCTACGACCGTGTGTTCTGGAAGCAGGACATTGCTGGCTCAATTGCCTTCGCCCGCGCCAACACCAACTCCGGTCTCCTCACCGCACAAGAGTTCGCCGAGATCGAGCGGGGTTTCAAGCAGATCGCCCAGGAATGGCAAACAAACACCTTCGTCGCCAAGGAGAACGACGAGGATATCCACACCGCCAACGAGCGCCGTCTGGGCGAGATCATTGGCAAGGAGATTGGCGGCAAGCTGCACACCGGTCGGTCGCGTAATGAGCAGATCGCCACGGATATGCGCCTGTGGCTCCGCGACGAGCTCCGTTTGATCGAGAACCACCTCTGCGATCTCATCAAGGTCTCCATTGCCCGCGCTGAGAATGATATCGCCTATCTCATGCCTGGCTACACCCACCTGCAGAAGGCCCAGCCTGTCCGCTGGTCTCACTGGATTCTGTCGCATGCCACTGCTTTCGCTAGCGAGTTGGAGCGTCTGCGTGAGGTTATCCGTCGCGTCAACAAGAGCCCTCTCGGCACCGGTGCCCTTGCCGGTAACTGCTTCAACATTGATCGTGAGGCTATGGCCAAGGAGCTTGGCTTCGATGGCTTGCTGTACAACTCCATGAACGCTGTTGCGGACCGCGATTTCGCCATGGAGACCATGCAGTGGGGCAGCTCGTTCATGCTCAAGATCTCTCGCTGGGCCGAGGATCTGATCATCTACAGCTGTCTGGAGTTCGGCTTTGTCCGTTTGTCCGATGCCTACTCTACCGGATCGTCCCTCATGCCCCAGAAGAAGAACGCAGGCAAGTTTATATTCCGTTTATGTAATATGAAGTAACATACTAACACATGTTCCATAATTTAGACAGCCTGGAGCTGCTCCGCGGTAAGGCTGGTCGTGCCTTCGGCCAGATGGCCGGCCTGATGTGCACAATCAAGGGCCTGCCCACTACCTACAACAAGGATCTGCAGGAGAGTGTTGAGCCCATGCTCGACCACATTAAGACTGTCAGCGACAGCATCCAGATTGCCACCGGTGTGCTCTCTACTCTCACCGTCAACCCCGAGAAGATGGTTGCCGCCTTGGCCCCGGAGATGCTGGCTACCGAAATTGCCGACTACCTTGTCCGCAAGGGTGTGCCTTTCCGCGAGGGACACCACATTTCCGGCCGTGTCGTTGCTCTGGCCGAGAACACCAATGTCCCCATGGACACCCTCTCTTTGAAGCAGCTCCAGGAGGTCGACCCCCGCTTCGATGCTGATGTCCAGGCTTGCCTTGACTACGAGCGCGCTGTCGAGCTGAAGGACGCCATTGGTGGAACCAGCAAGCGCGCAGTCCTCGAGCAGACCGCCGTGCTGAAGAACTTACTGTAAAATCTAAATCTTTAGGATACGATATATGACAGAAAACAGACGTTAGGCTTTCGGTTAGACAAAAATGAATATATGAATTGACTTGTTAAGCTGCCTTGCAAAAACAAAACGGTCAAACTATTTGTTACTAACAAAGGAGGGAAAATTATACAACATATGTACCTATCGGGCCATCGTTCAAATCGCGTCAAAAGAACAGTCAAACAGAGACTCCAACCCTGACATAGAAATTACCCATAATTACACTCCAAATTAAAATCAAATCCAACTCCTCAAGCCCCACTCAGGCTCATACCCATCGTTCCAGATGGAGACTTTATGTCGTGCCCAGGGGCACCATCTTCCGCCTCATAAGCAGGCGGGACGTCAGCATTGCCCTCTGCGGCCACAATATCGTCCTCCAAACTGCGCTCCGCAGGCTTAGGTCTCGACCTGGACGCACTTCTCCCACGTGTCTGGGGATTAGAATTATCGTCACTTGCTGCAATTCCAAGCCCGTTTCCCAATCCCCGATCTTCCGGTCTCCCACTATACTGCATAAAACTCATAACATGATCTGTTTCACCGCGCTCAACTTTCCTTCCCCTTTCTCCCTGGGCCTGGGACTCTCCTATTTCCATGCCATTGGAGTATCGATCCAGATTCGCACCTAGGACAACTCCCTCGGCAGTGATGACCCGTCCAGCTTGGTTTCTCGCTGGACTACCGCCGTTGCTATTGCTGTGGCTGTGGCCGCCGTTGTTGTCGGTTCCTCTTAGGCTTGCAGGCTGACTAGCTATAGGCGCCAAGGTAGGGGGTTCCCAAGCCCGTGGACCAGTCCTCGATTTGATATGATTTTGCTGTCGCTGTCGTTGCTCGATGGGTATGTTGATCAACTCGCTCTGTGAGTGGGAGGCTAGTTCGGCGCGCAGGCGATGGAAGCCCGTGTCTTGTAGCTCTGGGGTAAACCTTTGGCGAGAAGGAACTGAAGCGATGAGCTCGCTTGTGTGCGCTTTGGTTGGTGGGACTGGAGACGTTTGCCGGGGCGAGTGTGAGATAAGGCTTGTTGAAGATGATACTACCATTAGGTCTGGGGTGAGAGTTGTGCTTGCCAGTGTGTTATCCGCGGTGAATGGGGAGGCAACACTCGATGGATCTATTGTTAATGCAATGTCTAGTATTAGTGAAATGTTGCGTTGCCTCAAGAACGAGTTGTCGAATGGTATTTTGCTCACTATTTGCTTCGCTATCTGATGGCGATAGGGGCCCTTTCATTTCGGACGCAGTTGCTCGATCTTTCCGCGTCAATCGGTATGGGTACCATGAGACGAGAGTTAATCCATTCTCCCGCTTCCCATATCTTCTCTTGCGGCGACAGCAAAAGAAAAGTAAAATGGCACATATGACCAAAACCGCAACCCCTCCAACAACACCGCCAATGATTGCGCCCAGGTTTGAGGATGAGGCACTGCTAGTGTTGGATGAAGTACTGGATGGAGATGCGCCAGCGACTGAGGACGACACAGTAATACCTGTAGCTCCTAGAGCCGTGGATGTGTCAGAACTTGTGGAAATTCCTGAACTTATGAGTGTTACTAGGGGCGTCTTCGAACCTGCTGATGTTTCTGAAGTAATAGAGGAAACTGTCGGAGAAGGCACGGGTATTATCGTAGACGAATCCGTTGACAAAACGGGATTTGATTCCGACAAAGTGGACGTAGAGGAAGTATTGATGGTTTTCGGCGTACCAGTCTTGGGCAAGTTCGTCATCGTGAATGTAAACGAGCCGTCCTCGTCGCCGTCCGGGCAAATTCCCGTCGTACATGGATCACTCGAGCAGCATCCACGAAAGTTCCCTGCCGTGCAGACATACCACTGCTTGACCCCAGTGCAACTATTCACCTGCCGAGGAACAAGAGACTCAAGTGACCCAAGAGACTCAAGTGACCCAAGAGACTCCATCCCGAATAATATCTGCGAATATCGAGTCTCATTCACCGAGTCCGAAGACGTAAAAAACAGATTGCAAAAACAGCAGTTATTTTGAGTAGCTCAAGCTTGAACTGGAAGCGAGAGATCTTGCCCTTTCAACATTCAATACCTGAGGGTTTGCCAGCGGAAATGACAACCAGAGGTCAAATTGACCGGCCATGCCCCGACAGATATTCATACAAAAGGGATTCATTATCTCTCGAATGGTGATCTCAACCCTATTCCTGAAAGAAGCAGAGAGGGGATTTCTTTGTTGATGCGGGGGGGCGATGACTTGCCAATTATAGCATTCTCCAGGGCAGGGGTTGCCGCCAATAGGCTCATCTTTGTAGTGCTGGTTTCTCTTGGCTCGTGTGTGGCACTGGATAATAAACAGCTCAAAGACGTTGTCAAGGTGATAAATGATCGTAGAATCTAATGAAGCAATAAATCAGCCGGAGATCAACCAGGGCTCGAAATGAAACTCGAAGAGGCTAATGTTCGGTTTCTTTGTTGACAGGCCAGGGGGGGTCGACCTCGGGGACCTTTTGAACCAAATCAGACAAAGAAGTCATATATATGGTAGGAGAAAACTACAATAAGTACTTCCGTACTTATGGGAAGCAGGAAAAAAAAACCATTAAGAAGTAATAAATCCAATCATATGAGACAAACTGAGGGGAAAGCACTCAGTACACCAACTCTTCGCCTGTTAAGATAAAGGAAAAAAATATGGCTATACAGGATGGTAAGTAACACAGTCAACAAAAAAAAAGGGTCTTTTTCATAGATGTTCCCCTTGAAACGGGGCCTTGTGACGCCACAAGCCCTAGTTTCACCTCAAACCCTCGAGGCTAGGGGAAGGGCGTCGATAGGGTCCATCTGAAACAACCCCGTGGTATCCTCCGTATTCTCTGCGGGTCGATTCCAAAATAGCGAGCTTAGTAGGTACGCTTGAAAGGAGGGACGGCCTTGCACTCCGCCTCATCCAAGGTGTTAGCCTCAACGGCACGGTAGCCCAGCTTGACCTCGCCGTGGGGATTCTTCTGCCAGGAGAGTGTGTGCTTCATCCACTGCTCGTCGTCACGGTCGGGGTAGTCCTCGCGGGCGTGAGCACCACGGGACTCCTTACGAGCGGCAGCAGAGGCAGCAGTTTGGGTACTGTAAGATTTATGTTAGCTAGGAATCCTTAATCAGTTACTCGGAGTTACGTACGCGCAAGTCAGGAGGTTGCGGAGCTCAAGGGTCTCCACCAAGTCGGAGTTCCAGATCATGCTGCGATCCTTAGTGCCGACTTGGGCGTACATCTGGTCAACCTTGTTGACCTTCTCGACACCCTCGTCCAAGCTCTCCTGGGTACGGAAGACGCTGACATCGGTCTGCATGGTCTTCTGCATAGCATTACGGATTTCGAAGGTGGACATAGGGCCCTCGGCGGTACGGGCAAAGTCGAGGTCCTTGATGGACTGGGCACCGGCATCGGAAGCAAGCTCCTTGTGGGGCTTGCCAGGGGTGGAAGTATCACGGACACGGTGAGAAACAGCACGGCCGAAGACAATCAAATCAAGCAGGGAGTTGGCACCGAGGCGGTTAGCACCGTGAACAGACACACATGCGGCTTCACCGCAGGCGTACAAACCGGGAACAACCTTCTCCTGGCCGTTCTCATCCACATCCAGAACCTCACCAGTGTACTTGGTGGGAATACCACCCATGTTGTAGTGGACAGTGGGAAGGACAGGGATGGGCTGCTTGGTGACATCAACACCGGCGAAAATAGAGGCAGTCTCGGAGATACCGGGCAGACGCTCGTGCAGGAGCTCAGCGGGCAAGTGGCTTAGCTGCAGGTAGATGTGGTCCTTCTCAGGACCGACACCACGGCCCTCACGGATCTCCAGGGTCATGGAACGGGAGACAACGTCACGGGAGGCAAGATCCTTGGCAGTGGGTGCATAACGCTCCATGAAACGCTCACCCTCGGAGTTGAGGAGATAACCACCCTCACCGCGAGAGCCCTCAGTAATCAAGCAACCGGCACCGTAGATACCAGTAGGGTGGAATTGAACGAATTCCAGATCCTGGTTAGGCAGACCAGCACGAGCGACCATAGCCATACCGTCACCAGTGCAAGTGTGGGCGGAAGTGCAGGAGAAGTAGGCACGTCCGTAACCACCGGTGGCAAGAACAGTGTGGTGGGCCTTGAAGCGGTGCAGAGTACCATCCTCCTGGTTGTAGGCAATGATACCACGGCACTCACCACCCTCCATCAGCAGATCGAGGGCGAAGTATTCGATGAAGTAGTTGGTGTTGTGGCGGAGAGACTGTCCGTAGAGAGTGTGCAAAAGGGCGTGACCAGTACGGTCGGCGGCGGCGGCGCAACGGTAAGCCTGACCACCCTTGCCGAAATCCTTGGACTGACCACCGAAAGCACGCTGGTAAATACGTCCATCCTCGGTACGCGAGAAGGGGCAACCGTAGCCTTCAAGCTCGCGAACACTGGCCGGAGCCTCGCGGGTCATGTAGTGAATGGCATCTTGGTCACCAAGCCAATCAGAACCCTTCACGGTATCGTACATGTGCCATCTCCAGTCATCCTCGTGCATGCTAAAATCCAGTTAGACGCGATTCGCTATCTTTCAATGCTTAATAGAAGAAAAACCTACTTTCCAAGGGCAGCATTGATACCACCCTGGGCAGCGACAGTGTGACTTCTTGTGGGGAAAAGCTTGGAAACACAAGCGGTCTTGAATCCAGCCTCGGCCAGACCGAAAGCAGCGCGCAGACCGGCACCACCGGCACCGACAACGACGGCATCGTACTCGTGATCCTGCGCGAGTTAGACCCTTCTTTCTATCCAGGAAGAGTTATTGTCTTACAATGATAGGGTATTTGTCGGTCAGGTAGCCATTGGACTCCTTAGCGCGCAAAGGTTGGTTGGACCATATCCGAGCTGGCGCAGTAGTGGTTAGCGGTGCATCCGTGGGTTGACAATTCGAGTGCTCTAATGCGTACCTGCGGGCCTTGAAGATGAGAAAAGACGTCTCTGGTCTCTCAAAATGCGGGAAACCTAGAGAGATAGACGGATGAGTATGTCACAGGTGTTGCGAATTGGCCGAAAATCGTTGCATGGCTACTCACCTTAGATGCAGGAGCTAGGCTCCGCAGGCTCATGGAGCTCATGATGGCGGGTCAAAAGAGAATTGAGTCTCCCTAATGAACCAAAAGAACAGCAGGACACCAAGAGTCGGTGACGGGAGCAAAGAGGGGAGATTGTGGAATAGCGAACTCCTTCCAGGGCAATACTTTCATCTGGAATCGGGTTGCGGTTGGCAGTTTCACGCTGACATAATCATTCTCACAGTTGCCGACGGGGAGGACCGGGGCCGAATTAGCCAATCAGAGGCTGCGCAATGAAAATCAACCTCGGGCAGCCGGCTGCCCGTGATTGGCCAGGTGGCACGTGTGCACCATTTCATTTTGCCGGCCAGCACAAGCTGCCGGAAGGATACGGTAGAACTTCAGGGAGATTGAAGAGAGCCGCTAAGATCAATTACGGGGTCTTGAAGCTATATATGTCTATCTTGTCTGATTTTAGTCCCACTTTTCCTAGTGGAATGACATACAATTGCTAGATGTTGTACATTTCAATACTGTACATCTAGAGATGGTCATGTGGAGTCACATGACTAGCCATGGTCTTCCTAATGCGGAAAGTGCAGGGACTACATCATAGTCCGAGTACGTACTACATTCTCACTCAGAAGGAATTTGGTTCAAATTATATTGCATTGACCAGGAAAAAACTCCCACGTAACAAGACAATAGTCATCGTACATCCCATCCATAATGCAAGTGAAAAGTCGGAATCTCTAGTTGTACTGCATATATGTCGCTGTCGAGTTGAACTTGAGGTTGCCCTTAATCACCTTCTCAACAGAGGCCAAGAAGTCCTTCTCAGTAGCCACCTTGCGGCGAGCCCGAATAGCAAACATACCCGCCTCAGTCGCAACACTACGGAGTTCGGCACCTGTAGCATTGGGGCACAATCGCGAGATCAACTCCCAACGAATGTCTCGCTCGACGGACATGCTCTTGGCATGGATTCGGAGAATGTTGGCACGGCCCTCAACATCCGGGAGCGAGAATTCGATCTTACGATCGATACGACCAGGACGCATCAAGGCTGGGTCAAGTGTGGATGGACGGTTGGTAGCGAACATGACCTTGATGTTACCACGGGAGTCAAACCCATCTAGCTGTGTGATCAGTTCCAACATGGTTCGCTGCACCTCATTGTCGCCACCAGCGCCATCGTCGAAACGTGCACCGCCAACGGCATCGATTTCATCGAAGAAAATGATGCATGCCTTCTTGGTACGGGCCATCTCGAAAAGTTCACGGACCATCCGAGCACCCTCACCAACGTACTTCTGCACCAGTTCACTACCAATAACACGAATGAATGTAGCATCTGTTCGGTTGGCGACTGCACGGGCGCAGAGGGTCTTTCCAGTTCCCGGGGGTCCGTAGAGCAGAGCACCCTTGGGTGGGTCAATACCGAGGTTCACAAAACGTTCTGGCGATAGCAAGGGCATTTCAACAACTTCTCGTAGCTTCTCGATCTGCTCTTTGCATCCGCCAACATCGCCGTATGTAACATCGGGCTTATCCTCGACAGTCATCATCGTCACGCTAGGGTCGATCTTTGGCGGCAAGGGTAGCATGATCTGGTACTTATTACGGTCGACACTGTGAAGAATAATCAGTACCCAGAAATGATATTTAATCCACCACATAACTTACCCGACTCTCATGCCTTCCTCGATATCTGTCGGACTAACACGCTCTCCTAGG